CACGAAGCGTGCCCGTTGCTGCATGTGGCTGTGGATTTTGTACGCTGTCATTTGGTCCGGGGTGATGTTTTATCTTGTCTTTTTTGGTGCCGGGCTGTTGATTGCGACGGCCCCTCGCCTGTTGGAAGACTTTGTCTCGGGTCCACTGGATTACTTTAATTCTACCGCGGAAAGAGTGCTTGACTTTGCATCTGATTGGTCCACGGGTGAACGCAAGCCGCTTGATGCCATTCCTTTGGACCTCTCGGATTTCACAACCGTCCACGAACAGGCCATGGGATTTATTGCCCTTGCAAGGAGATATTACTTCAACTACCTGGATAAGGTTTCTATTGCAACGTTCTGTGTATCAAGTGTGGGTCTTGTTCTGATCATCCTCATTCTGCCATTTGCATGCTGCCATTGCTGCATTCCGTGTTTTCCACTTATCCTCTCATGCCTTTACTGGGTGACAGGAGTTCTTTTTGCGGTGCTTGGAACCGTTGTGAGTGTCTTGGCATATGCTACAACCGTGGGCTGTGGAGAGTTGGAGCTGCAATACACACGTCAGCCGGGAGTTTTCCAGTGGTACGCTGTGCCTTACTGTCAGAGGCAGTTCAATTTTTCGAACATCAACAAGATGATTCGCGAGAAGGAACTTGAGCTCTCCCGAGAAGCCTGTATCCAGCTGTTGGGGGTGTGCGAATCCGTAACGCCGGGGGAGACTGCAGCTGAACCCATGAAATTACTTGCGGCTGGTGTTATTCCTAGTGCTATTCCCGGTGTAATTCCGGCTGCTGTTCCTGGTGTTGCTGTTCCTGGTGTTGTTCCTGGAGCCGTTCCAGGAGGTGTTGTTCCCGGAGCTGCTCCAGAAGGTGTTCTTCCCGGAGGTGCTCCAGGAGCTGTTCCTGGTGCTGCTACTGGTGATGGTGATTCTGCGGCTATAGCTGCTCTTGCCCAGTCTGGCGCCCTTTCTGGAAATGACGGTGCTCCCCTTGACATCGGCAGTTTGGCGGGATCGGATGGTGTTGGGCTGGCTGGTGGGGCTTCCAGTATTGAGAGCTTTGAGGGTTTGCCTCCCGGAATTGATTTGGCCTCCATCAAAGACATGCCGGGTGCGTCGGAAAGCATCAAGAAGGCCTTGGAAAGCCGCAATATGTCTGAGGACATTCTCCGTATGGCCCCCGGAGGTTTGAACGCCGACTTGCTGAAAATGTTAAGTAATGCCACTGCGCTCTCGAATCTCTTCGCACGTCCCTTGGTGTGCGGCAAAGGGCTCTTAAACGCCAGTGAGTGCGGGGACTTTGGCACCATGGCAAGTATTCTGTTGGACACCAAGCTCCAGAAAAACATTCCGGGCTGCGTATCCAAAAATGGCGACTGCACGCTTACTGATTGTGCGGCGACCTGCACGATAGATTTTCTTAAGGATGCCTCCACGATGATCTTGTCGAAGGGGGAAATGGCCCGCAATGCGAGTAATGCGCTTTCGTACGCCAGGCCTTTGCTTGAGTGCAACTTTGTGATTGATAAGGTGGCCACTGGTCTGGCGAAGTGTGATGATTTGCGGAAAGGACAATTATGCTCGGGATGGGATTCTTGTGGGGGGGATGATCTTTGG